TATAATACCTAAATCAGCAAGAGTATCTATAGAAGCTTTAAAAGAGCCAGTAGAATCTAAATATATTGTAATATATCTCTTCATATTATTCACAAATTTGCTATTGATTTCACAAAGAAAATAACAAACTAATAGAAGTTGTTTTTTAGTTTGCGTCTATATATCTTTATTTTTCAATGATGGATTTGATAACAAATACATTTCATCAAAAAAAGACTTTAATCTCACATTCTTTTTTTCTATAAGTTCTTTAAATTTATTAAATGTACACACTATTGATTTTTTTTCTTTTTTACAAATATATAAAATTTTTGTTAGTACTGTTATTGCTTGAGAAAATAACAAAGTATTAGTACTTGCACTTTCATTTTCATTTATATCTGGTTCACATTCTTCTGTAATAATAGTTTAAGAGTGTTGCTTGAATTCAAATGAGTTGTTTACAATAATTCTGTTATAACAAGTCATACAAACCATATCATCTAGATTAATATAAACTGACAAAGTATTGTTAGCTTGGGCTTTAGCAAGAAAGTTCTTGGTTATCTTTCTTCAAAGATTTGATTGCTTTTTGCAAATAATAATAATACATAGACCAGTAAGAGGAGTAGATAGTAGCATAATTTTCTCTTCTAATAAAACCTTTTGAGAATGTTGATTATATCTTGATTATTTTGCACAATGCTTGTTAACATCCTTTCAAAACTATGTATGATTAAAAATTTCACTTTGTGTTAGTGAAATGTTGAGTTTCCAAAAAGTACTTTAAAGCATATAAATTAGTTACCCAGGCAATTAAATCAATCAGCCAATCAGATGAATGTCCCCTATAATGTGAAAGGTATGTATTACTGGTCACATTAAATATTGAGACAAGCAGGAAAGGCAAATAGATAATCATTGAACTACATAGCCAATCAATAGGCATAACTCATATCCTATTTTTCTTCTATGGTTTAACCTCAAAGTAAAATAAGTCATTTTTTAAAAGAATAAAACTCTTCATCCAGCTTATAATAACAATTTACAAGTATAAAAACTTTATTAGAAAAGTTCTTTTAATAAAAAGTTACATATATTTTATTAATATAATATTCTCTAGAGAATATAACTTTTGAAAACAGTCTGTAAAATTTATAATAAAATCAATGTATTAATTATTTAAATAATAGTAAATAAATAAAAAAACGACGTCAAACTCTACAAAATAAGCAGCACAATATATTTTATTACCTTCTACTATACAGTAGACACTACTTCAACCCTTAATAGGTCTACCTTTTATTGCGTGATGCAAACCTGATGCAACTAGATGTTTTAACAAGATGTTCGTTACGAAAGTATTTTATTAATAAAGTATAATATGTTTAGTTGTTTTTTTAAAGTTTCCTAATACCCGAAAATTCTGGTTTTATACTACTATTCTATATAAATATTCGCACGTGATTGCACACGACCCCTATATTCGTACATGTCATGCATACACGTAAATACGCGTATACATGTAAATACGCGCACATTAATTATTTCTTTATTCAAAAGGTCGTTAATACTTAAAAGTCAAAGGTCAAATTTATCTTCCTGAGGTAATTATAATCTACGTATTTATATCAACTATGATTATATGAATCTTTTAGTTAAATATATAATTATTCGTTAGGTCAATTACTTCTTAATGACTATGGTTTTGATCATTTGTGTTGCCTTTCAACAATCCAAAAATTTGTGATATTCTTATTTTTTTTTTATCTCTTTTGATTTCCTATTTTTATACTCACATGGTTTAAAATTTTATAGTTGTTTGTGCTCTTTTTATTATTACTGTTGGTATGGTTTAAAAATAGTTTTTTGGGGGATTTTTTTTTTCATAGATGTCTGTTTTAATCGATTATTGGAAAAATAAATTCTTTTATTATTATTAAGTAATCTTAACTCAAGATATGTGATTTTGATATACTTGCGGTTACGTTAAAACTATACCCAATTGAGTTACGCTATTTAAGAATTGTAGTGAATATTATATCTGCATAAGTTTATTGATTACTTATTTGAATACATTACTTAAATGAATGCGTAAAAAGAAAACATTAAATAATATTAAACAAAATGACTTTTTTACGCATCGACTTTATACGTAAGTTTAAATAATAGGATATACGAACTAAGAATTATATGTGCAAATATTTTAATAGTATTACAATATCAAATCTGTTTTTCGTGATCAAAGTGACATAAATATATATGATGATAATATGTTAAGTATTTTCTTACCATCGATCTAAATATAAAAGCATTATTTATTATCAAAATTTTTTAAACCTATAATATCGATATATACAATTTACATTACTTTTATCACCTGGTTCTCTTTGTATAATCCTACTTTAGGTTATCTGTTTCAAATTGTTCATAATCAGCCACGGGCTTTTTGTTTTGTTAAGCTATCTGTTTCCGTTTATATTCAATTAATTCTGTTAAATTACACAAACTAATAATAATAATAAAATAAAAGAGACCTATCTTTATAATGGTTTACTTCATTAATATCGTAAAATTATTGTTAGCTATATCAATATAGTCAACCTAAGTAGTATATGGTTTGTAGAGGAGTTAAGTCATTGTAATAGAAATGGACGTCTTTGAGTTTAACTGTATTAACTGGATGAGATTGGACAACATGACCCTATTTTCTAAACTTTTTGTGACCTGGCTAAAGTTTATAATACATTGGCTTTCCAAAGTTATCACTTTGCACTTCAAATTCTTTATTGGGACATCAACACAGTGTGAGTTGTGAAACGTGATCCCGGTGAACACGTGGAAGGAGATGATCAATGTGGCGAAGTAACAATTAACGGCTATGTTGATTATCTACCTAATATGGGTTTCCCAGTGTTGCGCGGCAAATCGGCGAGTCTGTCGCTAATTCCTTCCAATTCTCGTGTAACCTACGGCGGCTTAGTCGAAATAGGCGTGTTAGATTTGGCTGGGTGGTTTATCTGTAGGTAAGTACTATACTTCTCTTCTGAGTCCTTCCTTCAACCTATTCTTTTATTAACTCTTGCCTTCTCTTCTCTTCCTCCTACTTCCTTAACCTGGGGTTATGATACGTCGAATCGGATTGGAGTCCTTCTCTTCGTTTAACGGCTTGGTCACGTGACTTGCGGCGAACGAACAAAATGCGATTTTAATGGATTACAAATGGGCGAACGATAGTTGATTACGAAAGTTTTAACGATAGTTTTAGTTTGGGTTGGGTTATAGTTTACCTTTAATATGGGTCCGATACTTTAAGTTTATTTAAGCAAATGTATTTACTTGGGGGTATCGCGGTTACTTTCCCCTGGGCGGAAAGCCCTTTATTTATAATAAAACTTTTATTTACATTCGAGGATAATTCCTCTACATTATCTATTTATAATATTTCATCCTTAAAACCCCTTTCCCCACTATAATAACTAAAAACTGAATGTCCCATATACCGTCGATCTAACCGAAGTAACCAAAGTAATAAAAGTAAGAAAAGTAAGATTTCTCTTACTTTTCATGGGACCAGTTACTTGGGTAGGCGACTGGACCTAATTTCGACGATCGGTCACGTGTGACCGCGACAACGTATGACCGATTTCGGGGCTCACACCAGGTATAAAGGTCCTAAAAGTCGTTGGTGGGTATAAGGGTAATAAGTAAATATATGCAAACTATGATTAATAGGTTAAGTAATAAAGGGGTATATGATGGATAATATGTTTAGTATGTTTAATACCTTTAAAAGTGCATATGTAATAGAATAATATATAATAAAGGCTTCGAGCCCTACGAAAAGTCAGTTCGCGCTTATCATAAATTTGCTCCTAATAATTCCCTGCCTTCATTACATTATAATACCTACGATCACAAAATATCCAACTCAACAAATCTAACACGCCTTTTATCGACTAAGCCGACTCGTAGGTTACACGACATATCCGATTGAGAAGCACTGAACTGACTCGCCGTTTCGACTGTGTCAACAGATACAACCATTAGTAAGTTATCCAGGAATTTTTCTATTACTATTAATTTGAAAAATAGAATAGTCTTCACGCCACCTATTATGGTATGTCATCTAAATTAAATACTGAATTAATTGGTACCAAGTGCGATCAAAATAAACTAATCAATCAAAGAATTCGGTTTCCATAAGAACAGAAGAGTGAATTCAAACAAACTTCAAGCGCAATCCGAAAATCACAAAATTTATAAATTTCTATAATACATGTTCCTTTAATTGGATTTTTCAAAGAACTAAATCTATAATAACGATGAAAAATACAAATTTAAAAGCCTCAATGTTTGTTTTTCTTGGTGGCACACATATTGAATTAACTTGATAAACAGTGTTTATTTCTTTTTTGTTATTTAAACCGCCACCATGTTTAATAACCTAGCCATAGAATAATATTTAACAACCAATGGGTCATTAATTTTAGCCTGCCCTGAAAAGTTAAACTATATTACATATGTGGGTACAGCCAAGGAAAAACTATAATTTGGACTTTCAAATTTATAATTTATTGGACTTATTCTATCTGATTTTTTTTTTTTTAAGATAGTGTATGGAAATTATAAATTTAAAAGTTCAAAGCGTGGTTTTCTCTTGGCGAGCACATAATACATATTAACAAATAAATCGCATTTCTGTATTTATAACAGCCACAAACTTCAAAGCCACATTTTGATGTAATGAAATATAGTGTGACTGTAGCTCAGTCTTATTATAATATTAAGCTTGGTATTTCTTCTGAGTTAACGTTCGTTAGGATTCATTTTTTTCGCCTTCCAATTTCAAGTTCCACCTTTCATTAGGAAGATTTAAGTTTCTTTCAAGTTGTATCATTCATAATTTTATAGAAAGTTTCGTCTAAAAGCTGATGAAGATTAAAGTATAACGATAATAATAAAAAAAAAGATACAAAATGTATTCTGATGAAATAAAGCCAAAGATATGCGTAAAAAAGATGGAATTTGGCCATGGTTTTGCTATATTTGTAGTTTTTTTGGCGTTAGCACTTGTGGTTCTCTCTTTTTTTAGAGTCAATTTTACAATCCCAGAGCAAGTCACTGGCCAGTTAACCGGTTATCCGACATGGCTTCCTAAGATGAAAGGTTTATTAAATGCAGATTTCCATATTTTTATAAACACGTCACTGGTTATATTGATATGCTCTAAAAAAAAGGAATTGTTCGATATATTCAGATGTCAGTCTAACCAGAGGCATTTTCATATTAAGTATATTGATTCGAAATTTTAAAAAATGTTATAGTCAGATGTCGATATAACCAGAGTTATGTGTATTTATTTTTTAACGAAACTTTTTTAAGTAATGAATGAATCACTTTTTTAGAATTCGACGGCAACAAACTCTATGCTGTGTTTTTATTCAACCAGACTATTCTACTTCTTGGCAGTTACTACACAATAAAATGGACATTTAATCCTCCTACTAGATCTAGACTTATCACCCACTTTATTCTCAAAGATTCGAATTCAGTTCAAATTCCAACAATCTGGTTTGACCGTGCCTTAGCAATTTATATCGTGGTAACATTTTTCTCAGGTTTTACCATATGGTTTGTTGGTATTGGTAAAATATGGGCCTCTATTGGTGTATTTCATAATGCGGCAGAATTTCTGATACTTTTTACGATTGGTTCTGGCGGAAGAATTAAATCACTGTTATTTTGGCTTATTCTCGTATTTTACATGTCCATAATTATAACTGGAACAACTTTACTCGAATACCCTTATGATGCTCTGTTGTTCAAAGTTCAAGGTATATCACATCTTTGTATTTCATGTGTACTTTCTATTAAAACTGTTTGAGTTAAATTTCATGAATATTTAATAAATACAGGTTTATGCTTCGACTGGGCCCTTGTAATTGAATTTATTCTTATATATATGACTACTTACTACGAATATAGGCATCGCGAAACAGATAATCTCAATCTGAATCTTGATGAACCTGATGATAATATACCAGCAGCTTATTCTGTTGATCATACACAACTACTTTGGTTATTAATTATTGCCTCTCTCAGTCACGTTCTTGGTAACGTCGTGGTTACTGTTTATTTATATTCGTTTTATGCGTAAGTTATTTCATTCTTTTTATATACCTTATCTGCTATAAATTACAAATACATACTAAGTTATTGTGTTTAACTTTTATATGCTCAATAATTGTTTATAATATTACAGTTTTCTCGCTTTCTTTTTTAGTCCCTGTGTTACATTCCCATGTTATATATACTTTATCTATGTAGATCTTCATGCCACAAGTATTTATCCACAAAAACGTATTTTTCTTCCTAAAACTTCTTGTTGGAAAATAGTTGTCATAGCTGTTTCTTCGATAGTTCTCTCACTTTTAACTATTCGTTTGGCTGGATAATCAATCTATAACTAATAGTAATATAATTTTGGGGAGTATTGACTTTTTTTTTTTGTTTTAAGTCATTCATATTTTAAAACAATAAAATCAAAAAAACGTTTTCACATACTGTCATTAAATTATTGGAAAATAAATTTTATCTTCGGAGAAAAATAAGGGTAGTTTGAAGAACACTAAAACCAATGATTATTGTTAATGATTACCCTTGATATAATCATATGCTTATTTTGATTGGTCAGAAAAATATATACAAATGTCAAGTGAAACTCAACAATCTTTAATAACAGAATAATGTTTTGATTCTTCTTTCATTATGTGTTTTCTTCGTCGCTTTGGTGCTTCCTCTATAGCCTTTGGATGTTTTTTTTTTCATTATAGTGCTTCTTTCGTTGCTTTGATGCTTCTATCGAAAGTCCAATGTTCTCATGTTCTCATGAAAACATAACTCGGATTTGAGAACATCTGTTACTTTAAATATGTTCTCTATAAAAAAATTTCGTGAATATATTGCTTGGTTAACGTTCTCTATACGAATATAAATGACACTTAGAAATTGAGTTGAGCTCCGAAACATTCCGGAAAGAAAATGAATGAAATGAATGAGCATAAAAACGAGTAAGTTTGGGACAAGAATTTGAATAAATAACCGATATTTTTCGAAAAGTAGAAACATAAATCTTTTGTTTGAGAACATTCAATTAAACAAGTTTGTCCTCATAAAGCATAAAATTTTCAAAACAGATTTCCAACACTGGGATAAGGGTAAGTAAATGTAAGGATTATTGTTTTTTTTTTATTTCCAGCATTAATTCTTTCTTTTTTTGAGTTTGCGCTTAGGCCACCTAGACTTAGGTACAGTACAAGGGTGAGGTTTAAGCCAAACACGCATATGTCCAAGAATATTTGCTCGAATCTTATTGGTCAATCTTAGTCCAATTTTTCTGTGCAGTCATGTGATATTGCATAATCAATATAATATCGATATTGATTTTACCAGGAACGGAGTGCGAAGTATGTAGTGTATGGTTTATAGGCAAGTTAATATGCGTGTGCGATTCACGGCACTTGATCGGTCCGCGTGACTCTATTCATCACGTATTGTTATGCGTTGCCTATTTTTCGCATGTCATTTCACACCTTATACCGGTGGCTTAACTATTGCACCTGTGAACATATAGTATGTCTATCATACGTATATAAGATGAATGAAAATAAAACCCGGAACACCATTGAATTAGAGATGTTATAATAAATGGTGGTAAAAGGATGATTTTTAAGCATAAATATGTGAATTATCGCATATGTTCATTAGATTTTGAGGATTTTCTGTTTTTTTTCGTAGTATTTTTTTATTGTGTTGATGAAATGATAATCACTAATCATCAAAGATTTGACATTTAGGTCACAGTTGAGGGTTGCCAGATTTGAACTGGCACTTGTTGACTATAATTTTCATCGTATCCCTTGTTGAGTTAAAATACTATATATGAAATGTTATTTACTAATGCTAAAACTAATTATAATTTAATCTATGGATATTTAAGGTATATACTGATCATTTGAGAATATCAATTATTTTGTTCTAACCAAATATATATATATATCATGCTGAATTTCTGGTATGAAGTGAGTGTATGTTACACTGAATTTCTAGTTGTAAAGTGAGTGCATGTTACACTGAATTTCTAGTTGTAAAGTGAGTATGCACTATGCCAAATATGAATAATTCAAAAAACTCAATCAAAATAATTATTATAAATTGAATGTATTCTACTGATTATTATGAACTTTGTTAATTACATACTGATGAGAATGTGTAAATTTTTGGAACAGAGTATGAAATATGATAGATATGGTTTACTTAAAAGTGAAATAGTATGTGCAATTCTTAACATATAATTGGATTATCCTTCATTATAATATCATGTAACATTTTGAACAATACTTTAATAGGTAAATACCAAAAATGAATGTCTTTGTATGCAAAATCTTGGAGTTGATTAGTCTGTATAACTTATTCATCATTCAATATTTTCAAAAAAAATTTATAAATGTGTACATACATCTATAAAATCAAATATGCAATAACAAACAAATATTTTGTAATTTTCATTTTTTTTTCATCAAATTTTTTATTAAGCAAATAAAATGATAATCACTAATTGTTAATGACTTAATCAAAAAAATTTGTCTTGGTTGGATCCAGATTAATAACAATAATCAAATTATTCACAAATTTTTTATCAAAATTAACTTTTGGTTATTATCCTACAAAGCAAAACTGATGATTATTCTCTCAACTATTTCTACTACATCTTAAAATGTAATAGTTAATATTTTCACAGATTCTCAATCTATTATCACTAAATATATCAATATTTATATTATATTTTCCAATCTTAATAAACTTTTTAAATTCAATACATAGTCTATATAACATATTTTATAGAATATCATTAAATCCTACAATCTGCAAATTAATTTCCATAAAATACAAGTTCATACAAACAACAATCTGAATAATTTTATTGACTCTCTTACTAAATAACATAATCTTTTTTCTGATTTATACTTAAACTATACTAATATTTATAACCTATACCACATACAATTCTGGAATTAATATTTTATAGAATACCTTATAAGAATATTTATTAAAAATATTTGTAAAGTTTATATTCTAATAATGTAGTCATCTTAAAAATAGAATCAAGAATGGAACTAACTTATTTCTAAAATAGATTGGAGGTCTACTTGGTTATAGTTTAATTATAACCAAAAACTAATACATAATATAACTAATTTCAAACTTAATCATTTCAAATCCTTTAAAATCAAAATTCTACTAAATGAATTACATACACATTTTCTATGTCATAAAATATATCCACATATTTTTTATAATATAAACTGTTTTTATTACAACTTATCTGACTCTTTAACACACTGATAGACATGTTCTAATTCAATACTAGTCATTAATATTATTCAAGATAATATCTTCAAACATATTAGACAAAACAATTTGAACCTCTCTAAACTTTAGCAAGAAGAACATATTCAAAAAATTCAAAATCATGAAACCTTTCATCAAATACTATTTAATAAAAACTCATTTTATCTTGATATTATTTTTAAAAAACTTATACCCAAATCTCTAATTCAAATAATCCAAAACCTTAATATCCCTTACAAATTAGTATTACAAATGATTATTAAAATATAACTTGAAATCAATAAGCTATGCTATAAACTATTCTGGAAACCATATTATATAAACTTTTTAAATTAGAAAAAATAATAAGATCTTAAATCTTTTTTTTCAAATACTTAACTCAAACTAATTATAATAAATAAACTAAATATAACTGCCAAATATATACATATTTATGTATATGTAGACTACCTGATCAAGTACACTCAAACTCCAATATATGTTTATCTCTTGGTTATGTTATTAGAAAAATCAATTTATAGACTATTCTCTAAATCAAATACAATATTTCATTTACTATATTTTAGCTATCCAAATCTAGGTGAGTCTTGATCACTTTAGTAAATTTAGGTTACAAATAAATATGTCTGAGCTTTACTTTTAAATATAGTTTTTTTCTTTTGTATTTAAGTTAATTATATATAGTTAGCAGTTTAACAATTAGTTCTAACTACAAATGTTGGCCTTAGTTATAGTATTTATATAAAATTATTTTTGTATATAATAACTTTATAAAGTTACTAACTTTAAAAACTACTAATAAAAATATAAACAAGGTCTCACCTTAATACCAAAAAAAAAGAAAGAATTTGCTAATTATCTTTAAATATATAGTAATATAGGTGAAATAATAAGTTAGTTGCTTAACAAATAGATATATTATAAAATCTACAAATGGTTTAGTTAATAAGAGGTAGTTAAATTTGGAGAATAGTATGTTTATTTATAATATATTGTCATAAAAGCAGGAAAGTATTTGGGTAAAAATATATTATAAGCATGAAAACTACTTATTAAATAGAGTTTAAAATCTTTATTATATACTATTATATTACTTATGCACTTCTACAACTACTAAACATATTAAATTTATTATTTAATATATATACTTTTAATAATCTATATCACTTAAATTTTCTAAATATAATATATTCCTTTTCTTATATTTTTCTCTTATTACTACTATTACTCTTATAATTGCTAAATGACTTTTATAACCAATAATCTTTTTTTTTTTTTTTAATATTAACGATGAGGCCATGCCTTTAACTTTATTGAAATTCAATTGAAGTTTTTACAAAGA